GCATATGGTCTGTTTAATACCATGGTTTTTATAATAGCAATTCTCTGTGATTTTCTAGCCACCTCTGACACTCTTCGAGGGAGGATTCCCTGTTCTGAGACCACATGAAGTTCATGTGGCCACTTCCTAGCAAGTGCGGGAGAGATTAGGACTCAGGTGTCAGTTCTCTTAACACAAATGGGACACTGCTGCCCCTCCTCGCCCCTGGTCTGTTTAATACCATGGTTTTTATAATAGCAATTCTCTGTGATTTTCTAGCCACCTCTGACACTCTTCGAGGGAGGATTCCCTGTTCTGAGACCACATGAAGTTCATGTGGCCACTTCCTAGCAAGTGCGGGAGAGATTAGGACTCAGGTGTCAGTTCTCTTAACACAAATGGGACACTGCTGCCCCTCCTCGCCCCTGTGCCACATCGGGACAGCTCATTTCTGTGTCCCTGGTGTAACCACGAAGGGGGTGAATTAAAAAGCAGAATCCACTGCTCTTTCCTAGGAAGCTGAGCACAGCGGAGACAGCCCCCAATCCACATAGTAGCAGTAACAATCTTCATTAGCTGGAGCTTTTACTATGCACTACAGCTTTCAGAACTGAATGAATGAGTTTTTGTCCTTTCCTCCTGGGAGGTGGCACCCTAGAGAAACTGAGGCACAGAGAGCTTACAGAGACCCAACAAAGGTTCAGAGGAAAGCAGATTTAACCCAGGTAGGCTTGCTTCTCAGAATTTTCTACACTGCTTCCAAACCGAGAGTGCGGGATTTGTGGACACACGAAATGAGAAATGGCCAGTGGCCATGATGGGATGCTCTTGGAAGGCAACTCCTCTCCTCCGTCCGTGATGGGGGACACAGTGACTTCCAGCGATGAAAGCTCTCTTGGACCTGAGATATGGCCAGGAATCAACAGTAAGGGAAGTGTACCCCTCAGCCATAGTGACAAGATTTTGTCTTCAAAATACAGCATTTAAACTCTCAGGCATTGAGGCTGGGGCGGTTGCTCAAAGGCAGCGAGCTTGCCTGGCATGTGGGAGGCTTTGGGTGCAAAATCAGATGGTGCTAATATCTGTGGTGGCTCTCAATGGTTGTCTTTAGGATCGGTTGCTGATCCTTTGTAAATTCTCACACACACACACTGAGCTATCAATATCTTTCATTCCTTAATGTCGTTCAAAGGGTGGTCCTGGGACCACTTGCACGAGAATAACCAGGGTCCAGGGATGACTTGTGAAATGAGGCTGACACTGTCCACTCCCTCTCTGCACTGAATTACAGTCTGGGAGGCTGGAGCCTACAAATCCGGCCTTAACCAAACACCCGGTTCATTTTTATGCATAGTAAGTAAAGGCTGGGAACAGCTACCTCACAGACGAATTATATACGCCATGTCTAGAACTATATATTAGGTTTTCTCCCCTTTCTCGTCCACTTAAACATTTAAAATTCATCCCTTGACTGCTTTGAGAGTGAGGGGAAACAATTTTCTAGAGATTTGCAATCCAGACTACTCAACCTTGGGATTTGCTCAGCTTCTGGAATCCTGCTAAACCCTTCACTTAGAGACTGTTCACTTTCCAAATGTCTTTTATCAAAGAGACCAGCTAACCCCTCAGCACCACACCAAGCTGGAGAGTGGATGAGGGAGAATATTTGGTGTATCCAGGTGCTTCCTATGAAGGAACCAAGTGTTCTTTGAACCAGAGATGGGAAAGCCCTGACACTTTCCTCTCTCCTCTGAATTGAAGGCTTTTGCAGGACTAGCTGACAGATGCCTCCTCACAGACCCAAGCTTCTGATAAAACTGCTGGTTGACCGTCAGTCCCAACATACGATGTTTGGCAAGCAGCAGAGATTTGCTAAAGGCAGTTGTTCCAGGCTCTTCCGTGTTTCTGCTGGCCAAGAAACACGCTGTTTTGAGCATTACAGTGGACAGTCAGTCAACTCAGTTGAGACTTTGCTAAAGGCTTTTCTTCAGCATTGACTTAAAGAATGATGGACTCAGAATTACATAGCTCCTGGCTATCCTACCATCAGCTCTGCCTTGCGCTGTGACTATCAACTTTCAGAAGGAGGCAGGCAGTGATAGTGAGCTCACCTTTCACCTCGTCTGCTTTTTCTGAGGTATTTTGTATATTTCAGCAGCAAACCCAAACTGCATCTTCAGCTTTATCCCTGTTTCTTATAAGGGAAGAGCCTCTATACAATTGGATAAATTTTGGCTTTTCCTCATTGTGAATTTGAATCCTTTTCTATTTCTATAACAATTTATAAACATTTAAAAAATCTAAAAATTCATTTAACGCTAGCACAGTTTAGTTCCAGTTCTTTATTTTTTCTCACCCTTTGTAAGAACCTGAAGAGCTGAGTGATCACTGAGCACCTGTAATATTCCAGACATTGTTTGGATATTTTCTCAGTTCTTCTGCAAAACCCCTGGGGTTTTATGCCCCTCCATTTTACCCGGGAGGTCAGGGAAGTTTTGGACCTGGGGGGTCAGTTGCCCTTATTCTGACTCTGATTATCCAGTTTATGTAAATTCCCCTTAGAGAACACATTTTTATCACCCTTTGATTGAATTCTTTAAAAAGTGTAATTATTAATGTATGTTACTCTACACATTCAGGGGTCCCACTGTGACGTCCCCATACATAAGCCTATGATGTTTTGACCATATCCACCCTCCCGTATCCCCTCACCCTCCGTCCTCTTCCTGGTCCCCTCCTGCTTGCCCGGTAGTCTCTCTCCTGCTCTGAGGTCTTTTGTTTGTTTGTGTCACGCATGAGAGAAGACATGCGGTACTTGTCTTTTCTGTGTCTGGTTTATCCTGCTGACTGACTTCTGACAGCTGTCCAGGCTCAGAAATATACCCTGGGCCCTCGGATGTCCTCAGAACAGGATCGTTCTTACTCTACCGGTGAGGGAGCAGTTCTCCCACTGACTGCATTGGGCCTGGAGCCCCCTCACACTCCTGTGTGCTCTTCCTGGGTCGGAAGGTTCTCTGGATCTTTCTACACAGAGGACGGATTGGTCAGCTTTCCAGGCACGGAGACAAATTGCCTGACAGGCACGACTTAAAGGAAGAGAGGTGTATTTTGGTTCACCGTTTCAGTCCGTGGTCGTCTGGCTCCAAGGAGAACATCATGGTGGAAGGCGTGGTGGAGCAAAACTGCTAAACTCATGGTGACAAGGAAGTAGAGCACAGGTGAAGAGGAGAGTGAGAAATGTACCTTCCAAATATGCGCAGCCCCAGTCACCCAGCTCTTCATACTGGCTCCGCGTCCTCACCACGTACGCCACTGTTTTCATCAGCCTCAGAGCCATCTAATGATGAGCATAGCGCCCCTGTGATCCAATTCCCCTCCTGGAGCCTCTGAATCCAGACATTGACAAGGTTACCTGACACAGAGGATTCTTGCAGGTTGAAATATCCCGTAAAGAGCATCTCCCCTCTTCTTTACAGGCATCTCACACAGTCAAAAACAAAGTAGCAACAAAAGTAACACGGAAGCAAATGGAACAAAACTTGTACTCAGTGTGACTTTCTTAGCATTAACCCAGGGAGATCAAAAGGAAAGGAATATTTCTTTATCTCTGTGGCTTTTGTCAAAGGCTGAGGTCTGCAA